TCCAGGCTACTACCTTCTGCATACAAACAGTAAAGTTTCAGTGCAACTCCTCATGCTGTTCCAAGTTAGAAGTTAAAAGTAAAATAAGCAGGTATCAGAGTCCAAACACAGAATATGGACACTAAAATTACATCATCAATTTCTATCACTAACGGAGCGCCACTTGATCCAGTTTACCATGCACAACCATCTGGTATTAACACTCTCACTATTAAAATACTGGTTATGCTCAACACAATATTGAACTTCAGTACAGAAGATGTTATTATTCTGACTTACACAATGACTTTTACTCTGGATATAATTATTCTGACATCTCAAAACTGTCTCATCGGCAACTGTTTACTTCCCTTCATACTATTTAATGTGAGTGCTTTTAATAGAGTAGGTTGCAGACACACATAGTCTGCATTTTATTTATCCACTAGAAGTCTGCCACTTAATAATTTTGAGGCTTCACCCTCAAAAAGATCCTCTTCAAAGACAGTGTGTTCCTGATTTGAATAGCAGCTTTGTCTGCTATTTACCTTTAGTGTACAGTATATTCAAAAGGACACATTGCATGCATACGTTCTGCTCACTCTGAGTTCAACCCATCAAGGAGACAAGCACCATCTCTTTGCAATTATAATTGTCAGTTCATCTGAGTGGCTCATAACATGTCAGGATCCACTTCAAGAACATGATAAATAATTCTTTTAATATCCAGTCTGAAGATGAATGTACTCCTTTGAGCATTTCATCACATCGCCTGCAAAAAGAAGACTTTCCTCCCAGCTCCCAGTGTATCCTGTCAGCTGAAACACACTGCATGAAGTGTGCTCTGTCTGAACTAACATATGGTTTCAGTCCTGCAAAGCCTATTTCCAGGTACTCTGCCTGTTGTATGCAGCCTTTCCATGCAGTGGCAAGTAGCTCCTGGTACGTTAATTGTTCAAGCCTCTGCTACACCGCAACAGGTTTTTTCACAACAGAGATTTTAGCATTTAAAAGCAATGTTTTATTACTGAGTAAGTTGCTCAGTAGACTTGTCTAGTAATTTGTCTCTAAAAAGCTATTATTCACTGAAACGCAATGAGCAAAACAAAGCCATCAGCAGCACGTTCGTGCCGTGTTAGAAACTGTCTGCAGTTTTTAACAAGCAGAAAAGCCAGGTAAAGGGCAGGAATGGTGTGTCCAAAATCATAAGGGAGTTCTTCATCTGAATGAGGTATAGAAATGAGCCACTGCTCCCGAAGAAACAGGATCACCCTGGCCATAAGCAGCCCTCTCCAGCAGGATGCAGTGCTACAGGCACACTGCAGCCTGACGTCTATGAGTACTCAGCACAGCTCGGTCTGCACACAGCCACTTCATCTGTCCAATCACCTTCTAGACATACAGCATCTCATTCTGCAGTTACACAGAAATCTCAGTAGTGACCCCACAAACTACCATTAAGCAGTTGCTGTAATGCTCTACTGCCTTGCTGCTGCTTTTTTTAATGTCACAAAGTCCTCTTGAAGAACCGATTTCCAGTTTCAAGCTCATTCTCCTCTTCAGATGATGTTTTTATAGACCAGGCAGAAAACCTTTGCACGGGGACTAATTCTGAATGTCTAAATCATTCCTTCCTGAATTTGCAGTCAATGTGTATTTTAGCTCAAAATTAATATACTTAGCATAATCTAAGCAGGTAAGAAGAATAAATATCACTCTCAAAGGAAAACTGCATATACATAAATATTTAAACAAATGATATCTGTAAATACATTTATCATATTTTCTCTAAGGGTAAGTCATCCTTTGTATATTTGAACTCAGTTATAAACAGTCCATCATTAGCAGACATTGAGCTGGGTGTGAGCATTTCACAACAGGAGGGGGATTCATGAGCAGGCATAAATTTCACCCCTTAACAAGGAGAATATGCAATTTAATTTGATCAACAATAATCAAATTTGTATAAATTTAGAAAATGTATTCCACAGAGGACAGAACTTCAGTAGGGGAGATATACATAAATAGGCAGTTTTACATCCAAGGGAAAGAAACACACCATGGATCTCATAACAGTGTAGGAATGGTGGGGTTAGGCAGTCAGAGATGCTTTCAAATCTGCTTGAAAGACACTCCAAGGGCCCAATCCTGCAGCTCCTGCTGAGGCCCTTAGTCTTTCAGTGTGAGGTTTATTTTCCATGAGTTAGAAATGCAGGGTAGCCTGGATTTACTTCAGGTAGGAATAACGATTGTCACAATAGATCTTATGAGCAGAACCCAAGCTTCTGTTTTCATTTTGCATGACTATGCTTAGAAACTTTTTCAAACAATGAGCAGCCATGAAAGAGCAGCCTGACTGCTTTATGGGGATGACACAGAGATCCCAGTTTAGGCACAACCCACACGTCAGAAGTTCTTTTTAAATAGGTTTTGTGCCTGAGATTGATCTGAGATTGATAATACCAGAAACTAAACTCCTTTATCAGCAACATATTAATATCAATGCCAATTTCCATCCACTCTCCTGTCAGCACCCCTGACTGAGTTGGAGAGATGCCTCCCCTTGGAGGTAAATGGAGAGGAAATGTGATACATCCTCTGTCTGCTGGATGCCACCAAGAGGGAAATGTGATCCATGGGGACATGTCCCGCTCCAGCCAACCAACCTATCACCCATGGGCTGCTGGCTGGCTTTGGGTGAAAAATGTTTGGCTCTTCCTCTGTTGGCTTTAAAAACCACCCAGAGGTACTCTCTTTCCAGTATCCTCTTAAGCCCAACAAAAAAAAGAATCAGAGCAAGCAAAACCACACTTCATCCTCAAAGTTTTCTCCTAATGGAGGTGAATAGTTATAGGAAACAAAAGACACTTTCCAGGATCTCTAATTTGGAACAAAGAAACAAAGCATTCCAACAGATAACCCACAGCTGTTGCCGCCCCATCAGAGCCCCAGGCACCATCCACTGCATTCCCCTAGCTCCAGCCTTACTCTGCTCTGTGCCAGGAGACACAGCAGAGCCCTCGGAGTAGCCGCTGAGCCCTGTAGATGGGCACATGGGGAGGGCACCGTACAGAGCACCTGGACAAGAGCCACCCACTGCTGTACAGAAAGTAACTACCACAAGGGGTTAAAAAAAAAAAAAAAAAAAAAAAAGTGCATCAGGCCAAAAATATCTGAGCAACCTGCGGTCACAGCTGCCCAACCTGCCAGATTTTCTGCCAGATTAGCTCAGTAGTAGCTGCGCCTCGGGAGACCCAAGAGCTCTCGAAAAGTTTGGTGGGTGAAGACGGGGTGAGGGCACGGGGGACCGGGAGGAGCCACCAGCAAAGGGAGAGTCGCCGCTGTCTTGCGGGCACCGTGGAGCTGGCGCAGGGGAAGCGCCGCGGAGCAGCAGCGCCTGTTGCCCAAATACCGGCGGCCCGGCCGAGCCTTCCCCAGCAGCCGCGGGGCCGAGATTTCGCATCCCTCCGCTCAGAGCGGAGCGGCCGGTGAGGGATCTCTGACCCTTGCCTGCTGTCTGCTCCCAGGGATGCGGGCTGGAAGGGCTGCAGACCACCTCGACCCTGAACCCTTTCCCGGAGCATCGCCCCTCAGCTCCGCTCCGCGCTGCGCTCACAGCCCCCCCCCCCCCCCCGGCTGCCCTGCCCCGGCCGCCCCAGGGGGAAGCTGCCTCCCCCCACCCCCCTAGGCTCGCTGCAGCGCCAAAGGGGAGAGGAGCCCGCGGGAACTGAGCGCTGCGGCCGCTCCCCAGCACCCAGCGGGGCATTTCGGCCTCTTTGGTATTCTGAGAGGTGGCCGCTCGCTGCTGCAGAGCCGGGAGAGAACAGGAGAACTTGGGGAGGTGGGGGGGCCAATAAATCCGCCGAGACGCCCACCACAGCTCCGCAGCGGCACCGAGCTGGGCAAAGCGAGAGCCGGGGGCGGAGAGGGGTGCGGGCTACCAGGGCTGCCGCTTGTTGGTGTTGGGGTGTCAGAGAGCCAACGAAAGCCTATGATCTACTACACTGCAGTGCCGGCGTCAGGAGCCTCCTGCTCGGGAGCTGCCGCTGCAGGGCAGCCGGCACACACCCGCACCACGCACACACACGCAGCATCCCTCACCTCCCCCCTCCCGCAGGTGCTTGCGGACATCCCGCTGGCCTGGGGGAGCAGGCAGGCGCCAGGGGGACCGGGGCCCGGGGGAGGCTGGTGGGAGGGCCGTATTTCCCTGAAAAGCCGCCGGCTCCCCCGCCCGCCGCATCCCGGCCGCCCCGAGCGGGAGGGAAAGATGCAACAGCAGCAGCGTGACCCACCGGACCAAGCGGCCCGGGGCAGCTGCATTTGCATTTCTTATGTAATGCACCGCAAGTTTCCCCAGTCGGAGCCGGACCGGAGCGAAGCTCATGACGCCGGTTGCAGGCAGCCATGGGGCCGGGAGCAGAGCGGAGGGGTCAGCCCGGCAGCGGGTGACGGAGGGGGGGGCACAGCGCCTCAGTCTCCGTCCAGGCAGAGGCCCAAGGAAATTGACCCTTTCCTCACCGCCCCATTCAGGCCCGAGGTCCCAGGGGGGATTGCTAAGTTGGGGGGGCCTGACTTCAGAGAGCTGTGGGAGGTGGGTGAGTGCGGAGTGGGGAACGCGCTGTAAATCGAGCACAAAGTGAGGTACATGGCCGGCTGGCAGCAGCATGCACGAGGCCGGGCCCCCTCCCAGACGGCAGCCCCGGGGATGGGCTCTGGGGACAGTGGGCAAAATGCACCGGCTGCCCCTCCGATATAAAAGTTTCGTCCTCAGAAATAGACCACAAAACTAGGAGATGCAGCCCGGCCTGGGGTCGCCTTTGGTCATAGATATCAATACATTTTCTCCGTGGTGACAGTGGCTGAAGCTAATCTGTACCGCTTCTTGCTTATTCATACACATACATGCATGTCCGTGCCGGCCTCACTCTATCCCCCCTTCTCGGTAGGATTGCAGATCTAGCTCAGCGAGCAACACACAGGGCAGCATAAAGGAAAACAACGCGGTGCAATGCATTGCTTACCAGTTTGGTTCTTGTTTTTCTTAAGACTCTTGCCACAAAGACACTGCAGCATATGCGATCCTTTGCTGAAAATGTTCCAAAGAAACCACATTGATTTGGGCGAAAAGCAATCCAGCAGCTTATACACCCTGAGAAAGAAGAGATCCTTGCGGTTGCATAATAATAAATTGAGACCAGTTCTCCTGAAGAGGGGCACCAGTTTTATCATAGAAAAGGCGGTTATATTCCGATCTTCTCACAGTTTTTGTTGGTTTTTATTTTGTTGGTTTTTGTTGGTTTTTTTTTTGTTGTTGTTGTTGGTTGTTCTTTTTTTTTTTTCTTCACGTGGTATATTTCTTTGAGACTTTTCAATGGATGTTTTTTTTTTTTTTTTTTTCAGCCGGGCTCAATGGTTATTCCCCTTAGATCAACATTGGATTATAACCAAAAGCGTGAAGAGACACACGCACAAAAAAAAAAAAAAAAAAAAAAAAAAAAAAAAAAAAAAAAGAAAAAAAGAAAAAAAGAAGAATAAAAAGAAAAAAACAAAAATCCCTTTTTCAGTGCGAAGCCAAACGAAAAGTAAGGTAGCGAAATCCCGGCCGAGGCCAAAACCTCATCGGAGACACCGGCAGAACGCGGCAGAAGGATCCCCAAAGAGACAACCATAGCCTGGCACTTGACTGCTAGGAGGATGGGTGGATCTGCAGAACAAAAGCCACGGCAGGATCCATCCTACTGAACGACTGCCATTGTGCAGCCCCGCGGCGGGAGAGAGCACCACCGCACCCGGCGAAGCCCGGCTCGAGGCGGAGAGACCGGCTGCCGGCCGCGGGGCGGACCCCGCCCGCAGCCCCCGCCGCTGCCCTGCAGTCCCCGCCGCCCCGCGACGCCTCCCGCCCTCGCCCGTGCGGGCCGCTCGCCTCCGGCCCCGGCTGCCGCTGCGCCCCGCTCCGCCGCGCAGGAGGCAACAATCCCCCGCTCCGCGTCGCCCGCCCGCCCGCCCGCCGCAGCCTCGGCGCCCAGTCGCCGGCGGGCGCCGGGGGAGGAGGAGCCGCGCTGCCCCGCCGGCCCGGCTCGCCGTCACGTACCCACGTGCGGCAATGCTCGGAGTGGATCGGCACCGCTCGGCTCGGCCGGCCCCGCAGGGAGAGCGGGCGGCTGCGGATCGCCACCCCCTCCTCCTGCAGCTCCCCCTTTTCCCCTCCCCCCCCACCCCCGAGGGTCCCGACCCTCGGAGTCTCACCCTCCCCCAAAACAGACTTCTGTCCGTAAAGTGGTCTCAGTGGTAGGAACTGCCAACGCAGCCGTGGGCCACATAAATCAAACGCCAAACGGTGTTTCTGGACGCTGTCCCTGCTGGTGTCATGCTTGTACAGAGTTCTGGTCAGGCTTGAGTTTGCTCCAGTGGGGGCAAAAGCTGAAGAGCAGCCCTGCAGAAAGGGATCTGGGCATTCCAGCTGATGGCAGGATGAATCCCAACCAGCAAGTATGCACTGGCAACCAAAAGGGCCAACCCTGCCCTGGGGTACATCAAGCCCAGCACTGCTACCGAGAAGGGAAGAGGTTGTCCTGGTCTGCTTTGTGCTGTGTGACCTCACCTCCTGCATTGGGCACAGATTTGGAGCCACGATATGAGAGGGACCTATAGCATCCAAAGGAGGGTTGTGATGATGGTGGAGGATCTGGAGAGCACAGTGTGTTGGGAGCAGATGAAGTCCCTTGATCTGCTCAGCGCAGAGCAGAGGAGCTGAGGGGAGGCCTGATGGCGGCTCCAGCTCCTCACAGGGAGCGGAGGGGCAGCTCTGAGCTCTGCTCCCTGAGACAGACAGGGCCTGAAGGAACGGCATGGAGCTGTCAGAGGAGGGGAGCTGGGGGTTAGGGAAAGGGTCTGCATCACAGAGCGGTGGCCGTGGAACCCTCCCCAGAGCTGTGGTCACAGCCCCACGTGCCAGAGTTCATGGAGTGTTTAGACACTGCTCTCAGACCTTGGGTTTGGATTTCAAGTGGTGGTGTGTGAAGCCAGCAGTAGGACGCAATGATCCTTGTGGGTTCCTTCCAACTCCGGATATTCTATGACTCTATGACCCTATGATTCTGTGGTATTTGCGTGGTGGAGTCCTGGGCTACGACTGGGATTCCCAAGCACTGCAGCGCAAAAATAACCCCACAGAGTTCCCATTCCTGTGCAGGGCCACTTGCTGCAGTTCTAAACTTGGAGCTCCACCCTTGCACCAGGGCGGCACCTTCTGGGCTCACTGCACAGGCTCAGGCCTGCAGCAAGGCGATGGTACCCACGCATGGCAGTTGTGGCACTGGAAAAGATGGAAGCTGATGCACATGTTCTCCCTCTCTGTGTGCTCTGCTGGACTGTGTGAGTACTGGAAGGTGCTGGAAGTGATGGGGCATAGATCATAAAGAAATGAGGGAAAAGATGATGAAGTAGAAGTAGAAAGGTGCTGCTGGGGAAAAAAATAAAAATAAAAAAAAAATAAAAAAGGAAGGTGCAAGGAAAAATAGGTGAAAGAAGTGGGACAGTGAACAGTTCTCTCCTTTCCTGCCCTTCTCCTATTGCTGAAGTTGCCCTAATCCACAATGGATAGAAGATGATCCACATCTGGATCATCTTTACCTCTCTAGACAAAGGTCCAGTTGTTGACAATTAATTTTTTCCCAAATTAAAAAATAGAAGTACTAGGAGACTATTTCCACCTATGACATTTTTAACAATATAGTTAAAAATGTTTTCATTCAGCTATGGTCAAAGTTTGATGTTTTCTCCTGAAGCACCTGCATGATAGGATAGAGCCCACCCTCACCAAGTTTGCTCATGATACAAAGCTGTGAGGAGTGGCTGACGCTGCAGAAGGCTGTGCTGCCATTCAACAGGACCTGGGAAGATTGGAGAGTTGGGCAGAGATGAAGTTCAACAAGGGCAAGTGTAGAGTTCCTACACCTGGGACTACACCTGGGGAGGAATAACTGCATATATCAGTACAGGTTAGGGGCTGACCTACTGAAGGGCTTTGCATAGAAGGGCTTGATTGCCCTGATGGGCAACAGGTTGGCCATTAGCCAGCAGTGTGCCCTGGTGTCCAAGAAGGCCAATGGGATCTTGAGGTACATTAAAAAGGGAGTGGTCAGGAGCAGGTCAAGGGAGTTGATCCTCCCCCTCTTCTCTGCTCTGGTGAGGCCGCATTTGTAGTACTGAGTCCAGTTCTGGGCTTCTCTGTTCAAAAAAAAGTCAGAGTCCAGCAAAGGATGACAAAGATGATTACAGGCCTGAAGCATCTTCCTTATGAGAAAAGGCAGAGAGACCCAGGGCAGTTCAGCCTTGAGAAGAGAAGACTGAGAGGAGATGTGATCAATGTTTATAAATATCCAAAGTGCAGGAGGCAATTGGATGAGGCCAGATTCTTTTCAGTGGGGTGTAGTTACAGGACAAGGAGCAATGGCCAAAACCTGGAACACAGGAAGATCCACACAAATGAATATAAGAATTTCTTTACAGTGAGGATGATAGAGAACTGGAACAGGTTGTCCAGAGTGGTTGTGGAGTTTCCTTCTTTGGGGATTTTCATAATCCCTCAGGATACCTACGTGTGCAACCTGCTGTAGGGTACCTGCTTTAGCAGAGGTGTTGAGCTCAATGATCTCTCGAAGTCTCTCCCAACCCCTGTAATTCTGTGATTTTGTGAAACTGTCATTGCTCCAGGAAATATAAGACTTAAGTATGTAAAGACACAGGGGCTACTGTATGTGTTTTTCCTCCCCCATGAAGGTATCTGGTCACCAATGTTTGGAAATTCTGATTGTTGACATCAACGAAAGTGATGGGAGATGAAATTTTCCAGTAGTTATAATTTTAGTGAGATTCTGGATTTATGCATACTGCTTGATTGCCAAATCTCTATCTATGTAATACTTAAACATCATTATGCTGTTTTATGGAGATGAAGAATAGTGAACAGAAATAGAGATTTATATTGCAAGAAGTGGCCCATGGAGTTTGCAAACACCATAAACCAAGTGTCCCTCCCTGTGTGCCAGTGTTGCACAGGCTGCTGGGAAGTTGAGCTGGCTTGGCCACCTTGCAGCCAGCTGGCTGGGAGTGTGCAGCAGCCCTGGTGCTTTTCATGGGAGCTCATATGTCACTGCCCCCCTACAAACATAAAATTGATCTAGAGCCTTCTTAAAATATCAGAGATCCCCGTCTATCTTTCAATGACCACAAGAGCCAGTGTTATGTAGCTGGGAACAGTCTGTGATCTGTAGAAAACAATAAGTCATTGACAAACCTTCCACCCCAGTAATCGCTTTATAACCCTCCTTCAGGCCAGAATGTAACTCCTATTTCTAAATGAAGGTAGAACTTCTCCTTAGCATCTCACTATCATTCAGATGTCAGCAGCTGTGACTCCAGAGCCGAAGGGGTCTGGTTCTAGAGATGATATGTTATTTAAGGTTTACTGTAGTTAGAGCAGAAGCAGAAACTCTGTGTCTCTCCCGAGGAAAACATCCTTCATCTTGTGTGCCTGGTAATTTAGTACCGCAGGGAGGACCCTAAAACACAACAAGCCTGAAGTGGAATGCCTGAGCAGGACAGAAAATTTGTTCTGATTTCCTCTTTATGCAAAATGAAAGTCAAAGAAAGATCAGCCTCTTGAAAGAACCGTTGACCTAATATGAGAAAAAAAAAAGAGGGAGTCTTTTGTTCTCAGGTGAAATATGTGAAATATTCTTAAAAACTCTAAAACATGCTCAGACCTATTTCACCTAAGCATAAATTATCTTTTTCAACACTTTAATTAATTTATAAATGGCCTATCATTAACTGACACTGAACCGGGTGTAAGCATTTCATCACAGCAGGGAAATTCATGAGCAAAAAAAAATTTAATACTTTACTGTGTACTATCCACAAGTGATCCAATAATAATGATAATGATAATGATGATTATGATGTTAAAATAATAATAATAATAATAATAGTAATAATAATAATAAAGGAGCAAGAAAAGAGATGGAAACATCGAACTATTCCCTCTGGGATTCTTATCTGCCTTAAGGACCATAAAATAACAGACTTTGCACGAAAAGAGATCTATGCATAAAAGATGGTTGCACCTGAGGAAGAAAATATAATTTATGTAGTCCTTTCAAATCAAAAGAAGAGAAAATTAACTTGGGATATGTGCTCAGATCTTTTTCCAAGGATTTCACATTTCCTCCTAGGGGAAAGGGAGAAAGCAAGAATGAAGTATTCTGGTCACTCAGGCTATAATAGGGTAACATCTAACTGATATAAATCGTTGCAGATTGAAGAGAGACAAAAAACGTGACAAAATGAAA